CGCATGCCTAAGCGGCGCCGAGATCGAACACACACCTGTGCCGTAGCCAACAGCAAGTCCTGCCGCCGAGGAAGCACCGATTGACTGACTGAGAGACTGTTCGCTCGAGCTGCACGCGCTGCCCCTGCCTTCAGTTGCTGCCTTTCCGGACTTCCGATTCGAATCGTGCGGGGAGAACGTCGCAAGGAGCAGGTTCAATATCCTGTTGTTGAAGTACGGTGTGGCTACCAGATGACTTGAGCTCACTCATAGCATGGGGAGATAGAAAGGCAACAATCGAGGCTTTCCTCCGCCTGAATCCTTGAGCTCTTGCTCCGGGCATAGTTCGAGTGCTCAAAGGCGTTAAACGACAACACTCGGTCGGCTAATCTGCTACAGGGTGACAGCCACGGCGAGATTTCGGGGCGCTCATTTCCAATCACAAGCTATGGGCACGGAGCTTCACCGAATTAGCTCGACGATTAGGAGATTTCGAGTCTGTCAGCAATAATGAAATTTGCGATACGTGTGAAATTTCGATCGGTTCAGACGGTGAGTAGTTTTCGGGGGAATCAAGCGGAACGTCTCTCCGAGACCGGCTTTGACAGCTGGAATATCTGGCGGTGTCTCGTGCGCTCGTCTGTGTGTTTGTATCCGTGGGAACGGAGCCAGTGGCTGGAAGTATCTGAGGACAATATGGCGTCATATGTCAGGGAATAGCTCTGGGCAGGTCCTGGTTCACTTCGCAGACATGAGCGATCATCTGGTGGGATTCTTCTCGAATCTGCCGGGTGCTTTCCAGCGACGAACAGAGCTGTCACTTATTTGTCCTCCTTATTAGGAGAGCACTCAAAGAGTGCGACGACGCTTACCGCGAACAGGAAACGCGGTCGTTCCGTACCGATACGAGGCTTACGAATCTGGCCACCAGCGATCAAATTCCGCATTGCTCACTTCGATGAGCCAATTGGGTAATCGACCGCTTCAAGAGCCAGAATAGAATCCCGTTCCCACTTGACGACCGGTTGCGAGCACGCCTGCGAGTCTACCTTGACGTTCAAAGATCTGAACTTCGGGGCCGGTAACTGATCTTTTCGAATCCGGGAGACCTGCCCAACCCTCGATGGACACGGCGATCGAGCTCAGGTGGCTGGACGACTGATCGGTAATATCGGTTCGCTGTTGCGGCCTTGTGTCGAGGCCCGTGAACTTGATCCATAGCAACTTGCACGTGGGCTTCAAATTCCATCGAACGTGCGGAATCGCCGAGTGTTCGAACAGACGAACTCTGCAGGATTTCAATTTGGATTACTCTCGCTGCTCCTATATTTCGCGCTACTTCTTCGCCTGCTCATCAACGGTTTCCGCATTGGATGGGTCGCTTCTCGAGCTCGGCCACGAGTCGCTCGAACGAGTAAGCTCACTCCGACAATAGCCGCTGGCAAGACAGCGGGATTAGTGAGTTTAGTGGCACGTGCCGAACGTTAGTGCACTCTTATCGTCGACTCACTCTCCAAATCCATAGACATCGTACCGACGCTTCGCGTAGAGTGTTGACGTGTCGCGAACTCGTGGAGGCGGCTACGCTTCCAATGACTTGAGTAGATCCAAATGCCCGATTGGTAAAATACGAAACCGAAAACCGGGAAGGTGTACGCGAGCTCAGTAAACGACAGGAGGTCTACCGCAGATCAGAGAGCGGAGCAACCGGAGTGCGCGAGTATCGATCGGGGCGCGTGCGCGGACATTCTAAAATCACTCTCAGTGAGACATACGACGACGACCTGCTCCGAGGCGAGCGTCGAAGCCTCGGGCGGCCACGCGTGCGAGCACTGCTCGCTGAACGTTCGAATATGCAGGAAAATGCATTCGCATCATCGACACGGGGAATGATCTTCCGTTTAGCGACTCGATTTCCCTAGCAAGCTATCCATCAAAATAATACATTGCGTCATACTCCGCCACCACCGAAATACAAACACTTGACCGCTGAGGATCATTTGACTCTTAGACTTCTGCGTCGTCGAGAAATCGTGAGACTTCTATATCGCGAAAACTTCTCACCGAGCTTCCTCCAGACGAGAATCGACGAGCGGGATCCATCTCCTTCAAACTCGTCGTGGATCGATGGTTCCCTATTCCCATTACTGGCTTGAAAAATTTCATTCTGCGACGACCGATTGACTCATAGACTCGGGAAGGCTCACGAGAATCGAGTCTCAATCGGTGCGCTCGGGCAAATGAAAATATCTCGATGAGCCGGTCTTCCTCGACCGTTTCAGGAGATCAAATTGGAAACGAAATACGCCCAGGGCTCGGAGCATTGCTCTGGGACTCAGGTAAGCTTCCGACATCATCCTGCTGCTCCGATTTCCGAGCTCATTTCGATCAGGGACGTGAGCCGCAAGAGCTTCGGGAGGGAGGGAGGGAGGGAGGGTGCCGAAAATATCGCGAGAAGCGCATCGTTTCGGGAGGACCGGAGCGCAACTCGATCGGAACAGTGAGTGACTTCTATTTGATCTTCCGAGGACACCAATCATTCCATCCCGACACGCTTCATTAGAATCTGCCTGTCGTACGCGGCCGACTCGAGAAAAATTTCCAAGATCCTCCAGGCTGGCTCGGCGGGTCCCTGGGACTTCCGAACTTTGGACTTTCAGCCGTGCCGGTTTTTCTGTTCCGAGGAGTGTGACAGAATATAATGGAAAGCTCGTGAAGGAAGAAACGACGGGAACCCTTCACAAATCCGGATGCGAAAACGTCTGTTCGCTAATGTGGCCTCAGTCTAAACGTAGGAGTGTTCCGAACGCTTGCCAGGAGCCTGTGCTAATCACATCGTGTCAATCCCCACTCGATACCTCGACACGAAAGCGCAGATGTGAGGTTATGACAGCGCGGAGCGAAACTTCTGCCAAAATATGCGAAAATATTTCTGTTCATTGCCAGTTGTTCCTGTGCGCTCGGATAAGTGGTCGGATGAACGATTCATAATTGAGTCCTTTTGTCGACGCATCAATCAGAATGGCGCTCCTCGTCAGATTCGATTGCATGATCTCAAATCTATTCTATTGAACATTGAATGCTGCCGTCATCGTTAATGACGGGTCTCGATTCCGGGCGAAGGTACGGCCTCGTTTCAGGGCAGTGCAGCACAATCCGTCGAGATGTAAACCTGTCAACGTCATTGTAATCCGATGGCCAGTCGAATCGTCAAAGCGTAAGCGCGAAGTCCAACGCACCAAACCAATAGCCACTGCGCTTCTTCACGAGACGAACGGCGTGCCTAATTAGGCCCGCTTTCTCACGGCGAGCCGATGTATTGTTGTTGTTTCCCTTTGTGAACGGTAGTCTCTTGACACGGGTATTGTTACCAACAGGTGATGGTTGAGCTCGAGCAAGCCCCGTCCTTATCGTCACCACCGCCGCCGACGTCTTCTTCATCATCGGAAGATCAGAAAGGGGTTCTGTTGTTGTTGTCGTTGCTGCTGCTGTAAAGTGAAACCGCTGACCGCTCCGTTCTGGAACGGACGAACGAGGGACGGACAGATAGCGGAGGAAACGACGAGCGACGGATGACCCGCGCCCAACCGTGGGAAATGTTTTCAACCGCGCGCAGTTATCGAACGCCTTCCCTCACACGCACGACGGCAAACTGTCGTGGACACGGGGCCGAGCAACCGACCGACCGAACGGACGAACGACCGACTGGCGATCGAAGTTACGTACAGACAGAAACACAGAAGCGGTGCTTCTTTCGGGAATTTTCATTGCTCATCGTTTGGTCTGATGGCTTCTACAGCGCACGTCTGTCCGGTAATGCGGCGCTGCACTTGCGGGGCGATTACCACGACAATAGCATGAGTTCCTGAATTACGCGCTCTCATCGTTCTTGTTCAAAGGAAAGTCATAAACATATGTCGGATCAGTGACGGTACCTACATTGACGACATTCTTCAATGAAGTCGAATTGATCCCGAGATTCCGCTCTCGGTGTGGAGCGGAGAAAGAGACGCGTCTTAAGGGAGCAAAGCCTCTCCTTGGATCTCCTGGACGCCGGCCGGTGAAACCGAGGAGGAGAAGACCTCAGACACCCTCATACCGCGAACGGCACGGCAACACAATATCCGAGGACGAGCCGAGTAGATCTATTGCGTCGGTTCACTCCGCGAATCGCTGGCTGGATAACGGCTTATACACCGCGCGGCCTTGTTGCCCCAATTTGCGTCGATTGACGAAGTCTGATGCTTCTGTGGCAGCTCCTGTGCGTCGTTAGTTCGTATACTTCAGTTGTTGTTACCGCGGCATCTTCTGCCGCCGTCGTTGAGATCAACCGTTGATTACGTGGTCCAGAACGGCTGCACGCAGAAGAGTAGGCAGAAGTAAGAAAATAAGAAAAGACAAGCCGAGAGAAGAAAGAGGGAGCGGCAGATGGGCGCGCGCCATCCATCCACCAAGCTACCATCGACGCGGCGTGGGAACCGGGCGGCTCTCAAGTCCCTCCGTTCTGTCGGTCGCATGCGCCACTGCGCCACCATTGACCTCCACACACACAACGTCCCGCTTTATTGGATGAACCGGTTCGAGTTGCAGAAATATCGGGCTGTTTGGAATCTACGAGCTCTGCATCTACCCGCCGAGGTCTCCCGATTCCAGACGTGCGCTCAATTTCGCTGAGCGATCATCAGGACCCGCATTAGCGACTATGCGCTAAAGCGGGTCTGGTAACGATAAAAAAAGTTGGTTCACTGGGTTTCGGCGGCTGGTGCAGTTTGTTTCCCACAGTCAGCAGCCGGAGCGAGCCAGAATGAAAGCAACAGAGTGAGAGAGAATGATGAGCCGTTCAAGAAAGGGAACTTGAGTGGCTGGCGGAGCGACAGAATACACGTGCTGCTGGTGCCGCTGACGCCGCCGCCGCTGCTGCTGTTAGACAGGCATGCGCTTGAGTGGAGAGGGCGCCGCGCACACGCAGGCGGAGCCTTCCCGTTCGTATATAAGCGATCGCTCTCTACGAGACAGGCACTTGCTCGTCGTTCACTCGAGTTACTGGAGTTCCAGTTAGGCTACAGCGACCTACCCCAAACGTTCTAGTGGATACAAGTTCGAAGACAGTCGGAACTTTGCTTTCGACTCAACCAGTGCTCAAAGAATCTTTTCGACTCTACAAACCCCCCACACAATCTCAACATGCACTCGCCAGCATCCCCCTCCCAGCCGAGGAAGGCCAGCGAACAACGTCGTACCACCAAGCCCATCATGGAGAAAAGGCGCCGGGCCAGAATCAACAACTCGCTCAACGAGTTGAAAAACCTCATCTTGGATTACAACAAGAGCAAAGACACGGCCAGGCACAATAAGCTCGAGAAGGCCGACATCCTCGAGATGGCCGTCCGTCACGTTCAGATGCTCCATCGGCAGACGTCCGTTCAACGTGCCGCTGTTGATCCCAACGTCAGCGACAAGTTCCGCGCCGGATACATGGAGTGCGCAAAAGAAGTGTCCCGTTACCTCTCCCGATCCGAGTCTGTTGACGGTTCGGTTCGTCAGTGCCTCCTCAGCCACCTCAGCCAGACGTCACCGGTTGCCGGGCGAACGAGTCCCATGGAGACCGCCACCCCCACCGCGATGACTGCTGTCACCGTGGCCGCGCAAAAGTACTTCGGCAATCCTCAGGTTCAACTAGTTCCTACCAGACTGCCCTCTGGGGAGATCGCTCTCGTCGTACCGAAGAACGGAAGCGACATCTCAGTCAACTGCAACACCCTCAACGTTCTCGGATCGTCGGGAATCCTCTCGCCGGCAGCGTCAGAACGATCAGTTACTTCACCGATGCCTCTCCTTACCTCGGTGCTCGTTCAGACGCCCCCACCCCCACCCATGGACCTGGTCGCAGGCGGTGACGGTCCCGTTTGGAGACCCTGGTGAAACGCATCAACGTTTCACGATCTCGCTCGCTGTGATAGTTGATGAACGGAGCTTCGCCGAGGGTTTCATCATGCCACTAGTTCAAGATAAACGATAATCGACGCACAGAGTATCAAAAAACGTACAACAGACAACCGACCATATAAATGTATATTTTATTAGCGGCAGTATTCCGCAAGCCGACAAAGAAAAAAGAAAAATCCCTACCCACACCGAAAGTATTTGCAAAGAAAGGTGTTGCGGTAACAGAATAAACAATCGAAACCTCCTCAGGAGGATTCAAAGCAGCTCGAAACGAACTCAAACTGTCCTCACTACTACCTAGATACGAAGATATCACTTAGAAAATTTATATAGGCCTGATAAATCTCGTCCGCCATGGGAAGGGGTCGTGAAATCCAGGGGGTCAGAATCTCGGTCGTTCATCAAGTCCCGGCTCCTCCACTGCCGTGGAGGTCTTCCGGTAGATCCCACTCCGTTCCGAGCCTTCTCGATCCGAATTTGAATGGGAACCTCGTGACTCGTGACACCGAAGAATCACACCCGACCTGCAGGTCAGCCTTCACCACCATTCAAGCGCTCCGGATTCAGAGCCCAGGGGCTCCTCTTCTTCGTCGTCGTCGTCGTCGGACGATCATGGTAGTAGACCTAGCTGGAGCGCGGTTCAGCGGCTATTCCTAAAGTTCACGAGAGCTTCATGAGAGCCGTCAAACGGCTCCACAGTTTCCGCGAATGTTTATTCGCTCGCTCCAAAAAGCGATTTGAGGTACGTCCCATCAGAGGTATGAAATCGGATCACGAGTTCTCCGCAAAGGCCCGAAGAAGCACTAATCATACTTCACACTTAGGCGAAATTCAAAGAAACTCGACGGAGCTCCGATTCGACTTCCGCTGCTTAAAATACGAGCGTCCGAGTTGCACGCGGTAGGCTCAGAGATGACCGACGCGGGGAACAGATTTCCCTATCGTGTGACCTCAACGGCGTACCTCTCCGCAGATTGGGCAATGTCGTCCGTAATGGACGTATCAAGGGGAAATTGTCGAACGGAGACCGGGAACTTGAGGTGTTCTACAGGTTTATGAGCTTCCGCTGTTGTCTCGCACGGAGGAATCTGTCAATCATTGCCGTTCATGCGAAAGCTGTTGTTCAGGACCAGGAAGGAACCACGCAACGAGTATGGCCACTACGAGGTCCGTCCGGACTGAACTCAAAACAGATTGATTTAGATCGCCGCTATCGACGTTCGATCGATCCGGATCGGGGAGGATCCGCTCCAGCCAATCATCGTGGAGCGGGAAAACAACTGCGTGTCACAAGCTATCGTAGACGTACATCATACAGATGTCTGAAGGTTCATTTTCTCCTTCGCTGGCAATGTCACCCGTCGCGGTGCCAATTGGACGTCGAGGATCGGGAACAAGTGCAAGCGATTAATTTGTTTACTTTGTCGAGTGTCGGGCGAACGTCAAAGTTTCGGCGCTCCCGATGAGCCAGGCGACCAATCTATTCCCATCGAGTTTTTCTCATTTAAAGCTGTCAGGGCTCTGAGTTGATTCGTTTCACCTTGGATTCAGATAGGCCACTTTCGCATCAGTCGGAAGCGCTGCACTACCTAGGTCCGCAGGATGGCCGTAAATCCAAGCGGGTCATCGGCGACCGCCCGACTTCCGGGGCGGACTGTGGGCGCGAGCTCCATCGTCGGCGTACACGAAGGGAAAAAGCTGCATAGTCCAGGCTACACTGTTCAATGGTTGAGGAGAAAATATGGCGTGGCTGATCCGAGGAATTGGACTTTTTTATGATCTCACGGACAGTTTCGAAGGTTGCCACTTCAAAGAACGCTCCAGGTCTTCTCAATTCCCGGTTATGCTCGTATTTTGATGGCGATTTTTCCAACGAACGGTTCCCCGCTTCGAATCCTGTTCAGTCGTAGGGATTTTCAGCAGCAGAAAACTCAGCTCCTGCGAATGGAGATCGGATAGTAATTGACCCCCTCACGCGGAGAATGAGGTTCCTCAAATGCGGTATTAAGGAGGGAGATCGCATTCGAGAGAACTTTGTCCGGAGGGCGCGCATGCTAGAGCCGCTTCCATATTGCGGGGCTCAAAGTCGAGCGGCCAAAGGAGACTTTGTCAATACGCTACGAATATCCCATGTTCGAAGCCATCGTTTTGGGAATACTGGAGAGAAACGTCGCTGCTGACTGTGGAGCTCAAAATTCAGGTCCGGGTTGCCCTTATCGACGGCTTTAGCGATTCTTCGAACTGCGAGACATCTCTAAATCAAAGCGTGTTGTTTGTCGATACCGCGATCGTTGTGGTTGTCAGAGATAGTAACTGGCTATCAGTGATGCTCAAGCACGGTCGCTCGCATCGAGAGCTCGTCGATTGTTCATTTAATCGACCAACTGACGTGGCCGGACCTGTCGGGCACAGGTCGCCGGACAATGGACTCGAGAATCATCCTTCAGTTGCGGTGGTTCACTCTTGACATTGGCTGATCACTGATGATTTTCATCGAGTGCCGAGCACCGAACTGCGAGGCGTTCCGCGGAATCTCAAGCTCTCACCTGGTGACTTCCCGGAGTAAGGTTTAAATCTCTGAGCAATTATTTCGAGCAATTGTAATAATTGCTTCTCATTCCGCTATCCTGGGTGAGATCGATAATGGAGAAATCAATGGAGGAGTGATTCCATGGTCATCATTCTCCCTTTATGACGGCAATTATAATCTGTTCTATAAAAATGCGTGTGCCGTAATTCCTCTTTTTGGACCGACCTAATTACTGATATCGGTTATGACATGACACTTCTCTCGCGCCAGAAATAAAAAAGGAGAACGAACGAAACACCGATGATTCACTTAGACATTCGCGAACAAGAATAGGGCAGCAAATCCTCCTCGGAAGTCTCGGGCTTGCGAGTCTCTCGATAATATGACGCTATCGTCTGGGGGGAGACGCTGGTCTCATCTCCTCGAACTCGAACCTGCGGAGTTCTATGACATGAGGATCTGTCTTGTGGAGGTCACATCGGGATTTTTGTCGTCAAAGGGTTAGATCGTATGATGGCGAAGGTTCTGGATACGGAACTCATCGAGATCCAAAGCCTCAGAGGGCCCCGAATACAAGATTCCCTCAGATGAAAATCTTTCTCCACACTGCTCTGGCGCTGGGATTCGGCATCGGAGGACGAGTGAATTATTCCTTACTCGCCTCAAACTCTATTTCTCGAGCTAGCGACTCGGAACCGAAGCAATGCCGGGGTCCACCTTTTCCCCATACGGAGCCATGAAATATTCGACTTGCAGTGGACCGTCGAAGACCTGGATGAGACATGCAGGTAGGTTGAGTGAGTACTCAATGCTCCTAAAGGTTTGAAATGCGGTCTTGGTGACACGCGCTTGATGGAAGAAATTCATTGTCAGACTTCTCATAAGACCATTTCCAGTCGCTGCGCGCGAGCGATGATTCCAACCGGGCTTCCATGTTCCGGCGTTCCCGTCGCCCCGGACTCGGATATCTGCCCATTGAGCATCGTTTGATATTCTTATCGCCAACCAAATATCAGTGAGTTCATCTGTCCACGTGGACCAATGTTCCACTTCGCAGATGGCTCCTGTTTGCCCGCAAAGAGGACTCAGGGCCACGTTAGTCCACATGTCGTGCGACAAAAATTCGTTCTGTGAACTTCGAGTTGGACTGTTGACCGAACTCTTCCGACGCGAGAAGACTACGTCCCCAATCGATGACGCATCGGGTCACGGGCCAACCGTGTAAACTGTGGTACCCGAAACACGAATCTCTGCTTGAGCTCCAGAATGCTTAGTTAGGAGTCCCAGTGGCGGGAAGGAGCAAGAAGCGCATCACATTCCTTTTCCATCAAAATAGGCTTCCGTATCTCCATGTTTTATGATCCTGATGGAACTCTCCTTCGCCTCGCTCGCCAGATGCGGAATTTTCGGTGTACGCGTGAGAGTCGCGGCCCGTAATGACTGCGCTCCGATACACTTGCGCATAATGCCGCGATTGCTCTTGAGCCGCCGAAAACGTCAACGGAGAGCATGTTCCTGAAGAGCTGTTGACTTGGGACTCTCATTTTGTGACGCAGGACGGCTTTGTTCAACCTGAACATTCACAGATTGTTTTAGGCAGCAACAGCCGATATTCTGATTCGTGAACTGCCTGCGCAGATCTTCCTATGCGAAGCTATCCTTCGCGATTCCAAATCAGGAGAAAACTCCACGTGCTTCCGTCGGTAAGGAAGGGACGGAAGATAATTTCCTGCCACCCAGAGAGAGTTTATGAGTTCTTCTACGCGTTCGCTGGGAGTATCCGCACCGACGGTCGTAACTTCGGGACCAGAGTCAGCATGAGACTCCACGAAGGAGACATGAATTCACGGGTTTCTTCATGCGATACGTCCGCACGGACGGAAATCTTCTGATCCCCGGAGTTTCGTAGGAGTCGCGAAATCCTCCTTGTTGTTCGTCGCACGCGGCTTGTGCGCGTTCCCTCTCTGCAGATCCGACCTCTAGAACCCAGGATTCTTGATATTCCACAATCGGGCAATCACAAAGCGAACACCAGATAAAAAATTCTGTAGAAATTCCCTGACATGGCATTCAGTGCAAGTTTCGTTGATTGCGATAGTCGATGCTCGTTCTCCGTTCCTCGCGGCCGGTTTGTCATCCGACTGACGGAGATTTAAGGTAAAGGTGGTAATTTCGTTGGAATTCCGAAGCTGGAAATCGATGAGCTGTTCAAATTGTACCGAATTGTCTACGCAGCAGCGCCCGTGAGCCTGGAATCTGATTCTCACAAGTTTTGTTCATACCTATCGCGCATTCTTCGTCGTGACGAATTCTTCCTCCTACATCTACATTCTATATTTCCGTCGACTGACTTCAGACTAGCGACTCAATTTAGTCCAATACGAGAAGACCGGATGAATCCCTCTGACTTGTGCTGCGTCCAGCAGGAGTCTGAAAGCGATGCATTCCTTCGTGGAGAGGTGGCGCTCGAGGACCTCAAGGAATGGTGATCCGGAATTTCGGAATCCTGGAAATGCTCCATACTTGATGCCGATGCCTCCTCTCTCCGTTGACACTCTGAATCCAGGCCTCCCATTCGGAATTCCCAGAGCGGAGACTTTCAGGCGCGCCGGGGTCTGAAGGTGGGAGATTCGATTGAAGCTCACGGTGAAGACGGGGTGCCAC